TTGGACAGGTGTATCTTTGCCGTGTTTATCCGCGCGTGCGCGCGGATTCCACATCGTAACGGATAAAAATCTCGCAAGTGATTTCGGTGGAGGATGCGATTTCGGCGCGGATTATTTTCCTTTCCACCTCAATCCGTTGATGCACTCGGCTGAAAGTGTATCTTCCCTTTTACCGTTTACCATCACCGCCGACGACCATTACCGGAGAGAGAGAGAGAGCTCGCAACTTTTCGGGGTGAATCCGCACGCCGTGTATCGCAAACGCGTGCATAAAATATCCCCGGGATTCCCCGACAACGAGTCGTCGGTACGTGGGAGAGACGGGAACCGAAACGTCGCGGGCCGGCTGATAATTATCACGCTCGTTGGGGCCGAGCCGGGCTCTCATTTTCAGAATCGCATTCCCCCGTAACGCTCGGACACATTACGCATGCGGGATTCGCGAAATAAAATCCAGGAGGCCGAATTAATCGCTCGCAATTCTACGGTGGAACCAGCTGGCAGTCGCATACGCTAAATAGGTCGTTTCCGGCGACCGGAGCGTTATTGTCCAGCTCGGCATGGCTGCGGAATCCGGCGAGTCTGCTGAAAAATCAAAAGGGGCGGGCGGGGAGTGAGCGAGCGAGCGAGTGATCAACCAACCTTCTGCTGCTGGATCTCTCTCTCTCTCTCTCTCTCTCTCTCTCTTTCATCCTCTCCGAAGCCCTTTTAGCGTTCGTCCTTCTCGCCGTTCTCGTTTTACCTTTTCCCTCCCCCTCGGCGAGCGTTGACGCAGCGCCAAATTGAATTCGGCCTCGCGCGACGGTTCGTGAATAATTTTGCGAGAGCACCCGCGTGTCGTCTCTGTCAACAATAATCGGCCAGTTGTCGCGCGTCTCTTCCCATCTTGCGCGCGCGTACTGCGGTCTACGATTGCTGTTAAAAAAATTGAGGGGGGGGGGATATATATATATATATATATATATATATGATAAAAAAATATGTCTATATAATAAAATAACGACGCCTCGCCGAGCGCGCGGTCTCGTCGGGGTTCTCTCTTTTATTTTATCCGTCGCGCGCGCGTATCGATTTATTCATCGCGGAAATCGAGCGTAACGAGGCGCAAAATGCCTCCAAACATTGGCCGCTGTACCTGTCCACGTTCCATTTCGTATTCCACCCTTTCCGCGTTCTTGCGGTCAGCTCTGTCCGCTTTTTCCTTAAATAAGTTACCACCGCGAGCACAGCCCCCGCCGTCGGCGCTATTTCGTTCCCCTTCCGCGCAGTTCGCCTCGTCGCCGTTTAAACACACTACCGCCGAATTTCCGCGGCGACCGCATCGCGATAATTACGGCGCTCGCGACTAAGCGCGACGCGAATAAATTCCCGGCTCAAGTCGCGCTCAACCGAGTGCCAGTCTTATCGGATAGGTTAACCTCAGGTTTTCATGAGATTACCAATCTGTGGCAATCTTAGCCTTCTCAAATATCATAATGTAAATCTGTCTCTTCGACAAGCGATGTAATCGCACGGAAATGAACGAAGGACTCGTATACTACCCGAGTCGTAATTTCAGTTCTACATTAAGTCTATTTAGTTCTATATTAAGCCCTCGGAGGTCTTCTATTGTGCTTTCTTGATGCTACAAGTGGGAAACAAGTGGGAACTTATTTCCGTTTTCTCCCACCTGAAGACTTAATATAAAATTTAAAATTTCTTGGAAAAATATTAATATCAATTCAATATTTCTCGTATAGATATATTTAAATTAAGAATTGAATCAGTGTGAAAATTTTTCCATTCAATATTGTTTTCACTCAATTCATGAAAATTATTCTGGAATAACAAGAATATGATATTTTTCGCGGGACCATATAGAATTTCTTCATATAAGCAAGTTTTATCTTCATAGAAGGTTATACATTCTTGTTCACACATTAATGAAAATGAAATTTTTTCCCGTATACGTCAAATATTTGTAATGTTCTGATATTTTCGGAAATAATTCGGAAGCAAAAAATTGACGAAAAAAGTTTTTCCACCGTACTTTGATAGATATCGATAAAGCCGGAATTCAAATTTAATCCAATATCCACGATACGCACAGAACGTGTCAGAAAAATACCTATCAATATTCCACATAATAAAATCTCCTCACCGCGGCCTGCGTGATTTCGAAAATACGTTGTGTACGACATGTGCTTACAGATTTTTTTTTTGTATTTCGTTCTGTATATATATATATATATATATATATATATATATCTGGGAATGTATTGGCGCGCGCGTATCACCGATTCCTCTGTCTGGTGAATTTTATTTTACATTTCTTCCTGACAGCGAGTTTACATTTTAACGATCACATTAAATAATCGTTCAAACGTTTTTTTCCCCCTCCCCGCAGTGAAAGATTGCACCGTCGAGATAGGAGTACGTTGTTATCTCCTGAAACGGTCTTGCATTATTAAACAAACGGAATATCAGTCTCGAATCATAATTTCCTGGCAATGTGACAGTTGATTTTCTCTCTGAGCGCCCGTAAATAGGAAGAAAATGTAATGGAAACGCGTGCGCCGGCGGGAACGCGAGGCTGTTAACGGCGGTTTCCTTCCACGATGCAATCGGCGAAAAATAATTGCGGACAAAGGAAATCAAGCGCTCGCGCATTCGAAGTTCCATTCGCTCGAGTCCGTTTTAATTATCAAGAGCTCGCCACTAGGCCGATATTAATGACGTACGTTCGTTCGAACGTGAAGTTCTTTCTTTCTCCCTCCCTCCCACCCTCTCGCCGCGTGTTGTTGCCTCGGTTTCCTGCTCGCTGATGGTAACGACCGCGTTCGTTCAAGGTAGCCGGAAGTAATGCGCGCCATTTCTTTCTTTTCGCACTTCTTCGATGTTTACCAAAATAAAAAAAAGCGCTTGAAAGAGAAGGGAGGTCGATCACGAAGAGGAGATCTTGAAACGAGTCTAACGACTCGCGGAACATCTATATCTTATGTTCATTATTATCGCTTTAAAGTATATACAGTATCTCCTTAAGGTAAGATGAGTTTTTTTAACAATTTATCGAAACTTACACTAAATATAGATTTAAATATGACATAATTATTGGCATAACGATTGACTATTTGGATGCTGAGATATTCGTAACATAACACTTTCCATACGTATTCCTTGAGATTGATATCATATTCATAACTTCTATTTTTAATTTCTTCTAAATTACATTTTGAATTTTAAAGAAAAACTATTGATATTCAGGAGTAACATGGAGACATTATACAACAATTTGGAAATTGTGAATTGAATGTTTTGGAAATCTAGGCATAGAAAATTTACGGTTCATAATAATACCCGCCATATATATGACGGTTATTATTATATGACGGTACTTATAAATATTAAATATTTTTCCCTCAGTTTGGCGACGAGAAGTTTCTGTCTTTTTTCTTTTGTTGTTTCTTTAATTGTTATTGCGATTATAAACACATGGTAGTCCCTCGCGAGTCTGCTTTGTAGTCTCAGAATTACGTGTGAAATAATTCGACAGCGGTAATATACCTTCGATTTCCCCGAGTCTCATCTCGAGATCTCTATATTTGAGAAACGTGTCACAAGACACAGTCGCTAATTCAGTTCCGTTCCTCGCAGACATTGCCGTCTCATCAGGGGAAAGAAAATTACACGAAGTCCCGCTCCGTGGAAGAAATGTAACGAAGAATATCTCTGCGCTTTTTTGCCCCAGACATTTATAATTATTAAGGTGTATTATGCCGGACCGCTCTTCTCTGTCTCTTCTTAGTCTCATATTTGCCCTCGGGCAATACCTTTGTCTTTGGGTCTCTCTTTTTTTTCCTCCGGCCTTTCTCTCTTTCTCTCTCCTTCCCTCGCTCTCTTTCTCGCAAGTGTTATATTCAAGGAATGAAAACTATATTATAAAAAAGCGCCCCGCGTGTCTTTTCACATGTCTGACGACGTGACTCCATTTCGTCTTGGTAAAATCGTGCGGTTTCACGGCGAAATTTCTGTGTTCTCCGCGTTCGTTCGGGTTTTTATTAATATTTTCCCTTAATTTCTCGTGATCTCTGCAGGGGGGAGGGAGGGGGGAGAAATATGTGAGATGGCAGATCCCGCGATATGGAGTGTTATGATAATTTCGTGTTGCACTCTCGGCGCGTATAATTGCAGATGATAAACGCGAGGGACGCGTTTCTCCGGGGTCGACCGTTGGAAGATCTCCAAGCGTGATCGCGTCGCGCGGATGCGGGAGTTAAAAATTGCGGCGCGATCCTCGCGCGACGCCGTCAGCCCCGGAATTAATCCCGAAAAGAGCGTCCCTTCGCAAGACCGCGATTGCGCTGCATTATAGAAGGGCGTAATTTTGTTGTTGCACGCTCCGGGCGAAACTTCATAAAGCCGTGCGCGCTTTTTCCATCCGTCGGGGGGAGCTCCCGCGTTATTTCATTTTTCCGCTGTTTTTCTCACCGTCCGCCCTCGCTCCCACACGCGATTTCGCGTTTCACCGCGGAATGTTGTTGCGTAACGATTATCCCCCTTCGCGATGATACTTCTCGAGCGAGCGGATTTCATCTCCCTTTCTCTTTCTTCTTCTATTTTCTCTTCCTCGTCGGCGCACCTCTCGTGCTTCGAATTAAGCCTGATCGCGGCGCGTCGCGTGGACAACGATTCGATCTCGAACGGTTAAATTTAAGTTTTCGTACGTCGAGTCTTTATTCTTCGCTCAGAATAGATTAGAACAGGTATCTCTTGGATTTGCATCATTAGGGCTGTGTTCTTTTTGGGCGCTCGCTCGTTGTGAGCGTCATTCTCTTTATTGTTCATCGCATAACAAAGGAAGATAGAATGACGCTTGCGGCGCGTGAGCGCTCAAAGAAAGCGCAGCTTAGATATAGCGGGGAACGAGCGGTCGTTTGTGGGTGTACCGTGAGTGGACCGTGATGCGTGCTCGCGTGTCGGACCTCGTCGAATTTAAATCCTCCTTTGTCGTTTGATTTCAGAACACCATTCTGCCCGAGGCAGTGCATTTCTGGGAACGAGCGTTGATGGTGCGGGAGACGAAGAGCACCATTAGACTGAATAGGTAAGCCTCAGCTATCTCTCTCTCTGGGGTTTCCACGGCTAATGGCGATTCCAATTCGGATATTATTCGGGCATCCGAGCCCGAAATTTTGATGTTACTCCGACGCTCTTAACCAGTTAACTGTGGCGATCTCTTTGCAAAGCGCCCACCAGTGTGTGTCGCGATAATCAAGCGAGTTAGCTCTCAGGAAGTTATAAATCCAACTCAAATTATTTATAATTTTCATTTGTTTGTTTCATTTCGTCTTGACCTCTAAACATTTTACCCATATTAAAATTTACGAATATAATTTAGTTTTCGCCAGAATTACAATTTAAATATCAAATTGTATAAAATTTTACGCATGACGGATATAGTCGTCATGACACAAGATTCTGCCACAGCTCCATGACGGATATAGTCGTCAAACACACTTAACTGGTTAAGGATAATTTGCGCTTACTTAGGCGGCTTTTAGATTAACGTGTGCGAATCTATTTTGCTATCTTTGCCCCTACTGTACCGTAGAATTAAAAGTTCAACGCATATCCAGAATTTCGACTGAGATATTTTCGCTATTTCGCTTTTTCAATCGCCGTCGTTCGTGCGTTTCGACTTGTGGAGAGATTACGATCGGACGATTGATTATTGATTATCGGGAACACATTAACGCGAGCTCGACGATGACGAGCACTCCCGTCGAGTTAATCATTCGCAGCTCGAATTTTCCCCCCCGTTTTTCCGAAACGTTGATGCGGTAGAATCGACGGAGGATGTGAATTATCAGGTGTTTACGGGGAGATGGGAGATTTTATAATCAGCTAATACGCGCGCGTGCATTTTTCACAGCAAGGCGCGCGGCCGGCTTTAGACGGGAATTATAAATATCCCATTTCGTAATCGTGTTGGTGTTATAGAATATTAATGACTGGAAAATCGCTCGACGTATGCCGGTAACCGCGCCGGTGCCGTGGAATATTAATGAAACACGCGGCCTTTTTTCTCCGTTCTCTCCTCTTCCCCTTTTTTTCGTTAAGACCGCGTTAGGACAGCGAGAATAAAATGGGAAGGGGGGAGGGGGGAGTACCATACGCGGGGAGAATATTAACGCTAGATGATATAATCCGCCGAAAAGCGTTTTGCATTATTCTATCTTAACACGCGGCGCGTGTATATACGCGAGTCGCCGCGTTTATTTGCATAGAGACCGAGATGCCGGGCTAAAAGCGTGTGAATATGTATCGCACGTATTTGCGTTTCGCGCAGCCGTTCATCTGATTTACCGGCGGGAACACGTACCTAGGCGTTATTATGGTCCTATAATATAATTGCGCGCGCGTACTCCCGCTCGTGATCCAATACGTTGTGCCGAGATGAATTAACGTTCATCGGAAAAGTGAACGCTCGACAAAGCGATGGTAGGAACACGATCTGTTGGCCGATATTAACTTTGATATCGTATGACTATCGAACTCGAGCTCATCGGAGAGAGAGAGAGAGAGGGAGAGAGATGGAGCGCGAACGTTTTCTCCCATCTATTTTGAATTTTATCATCAATTTTGAAAATTGCTTTTTACGCGATACTTACGGAGATACTCCGCAACGCAACGGTCGCCGACGACCGCACCTAACGATATCGTATCGTCGCGTCAGGTGCGCCGGGAAAATGCGAAATATCAACGCGCGCGCGCGTGGCCGATACGTTTTTGCAATAACCACGCGGGCATCGATGGGGGTTGGGCTGTAATGCCCGGCGGGGAGAGCATCGGGAGGAGATAAATGTTCGCCGTTCGTTCTGGTCCTTTTTCCGGACACGGTTGGAGCTCCGGCGGTTCGGTGCCGCCGCAGATACGCAAGCAACCTAAATTAATGCGTCCGTGTCCGTCGGCCGGATAAACAGAACACATGGAAGTGCACGGTGCATATAAAGTCACGCGTACACATAACCACCGCGTAGTTATGCGGTTTTCTGCGCGTGTAAACAAGAGCCGCATACTTCCCGCGTTTCTAACGAGGCGTGACTTTTCGCCACGATACTCTCTCTCTCTCTCTGTCTCTCTCTCTCTCTTTCTCTCTCTCTCTCTCCTTTGCTATCTCGCTGTCGGCGCTGTACGCCCGCCGAAAGTACGCGCGCGCGAACAGCCATTCGTGAGGACAATGTAGCTACGAGTTTTCCGTGATTACGGATTTATGCACGGCGCGTGTACGAACGGCACCGCGTAAAAGAGTTGTAACTCGCACCACTAAGTTTCCCCGCACGACGCATTGAAACTGTCACGCACGAATGGAGTGCTCGCGCGTAACTGCGGAAGTAAAAGCGAAGCCAATTAAACCACGCGCGCGATTCGTGAAATCGAGAGAGGAAGATGACTTCGTATTTCCTAAGTTCGTCGACTATGAAAGATTAATTTCATCGAATCAAGTGTCCTTTCTTTTCTATCCCCCTCCTCCCTCCGCTCTCCTTCCCACTACTATTAGGTTGGTGCATATGAAATGTCGGATTCTTAAGTGATTGTATAAAACTGTATATCTTTCTTCAAAAGCTGTTTATTCAATCAAAGTATGCTCCATTCGCTTCAATACACTTCTCCCAACGAGATTTTAAAGCGTAGATGCCTGTCTTAAAAAAATTTTGGTCTTTAGAATTAATAAACTCTGATATCGAGTTTTTTAGACTGTCTTCATTTTCATGGTGTTTGCCTCTTAAAAACAGCTCTAAATGCTTGAAAAAATGAAAATCGGTCGGCGAGAGATCCGGTGAATATGGTGGATGCTGCAAAACTTCATATTCCAGTTCGTTCAGTTTCGCAATTGTTTTGTGCGATGTGTGCGGCCGAGCGTTGTCATGGAGCAGTAGCGGGCCATGCCGATTCACAAGCGATGGGAGTACAATTTGGTGTCTCAATATCGTTGTATGGTCAACTTTCATCCTGATAGCAAGTTCCCTCGTGGATACGGCTGGATCCGCTTCCACTAGAGCCTTCAGGTCATCATTATTCACAGACGTTTTGGGTCTTCCGCGCGGCTCATTTTGCAGTGAAAAATCGCCAGTCCGAAATTTTTCGAACCAACGCTGCACTTTCCGATTGTTAACCGTATTCTCCCCAAACGCTTGGTTTATGTTGCGTGCAGCTTTTGCAGCACTATTACCAAGTTTGTACTCATATAAGAAAATGACGCGAATGTCGGCAGAATTCATATCGGTAATAAACTCAAAAGAAATAAAAAAGGGAAGACCTTCGAGAAAACCTATTTTGTTGAAATGAGTCTCTGGCAATGGACAATACGAGTATGAATGAGGTTATGCCAAATACAAAAGTATAACGAAAACAGGGAGGAAAACGTCCGCATGTAAAGAGAATGCGACATTTCATACGCACTAACCTAATAATACCACACTACTGATTACTAATAACAACCAGACGCGTTTGCAAGAAGAAACAGCCACTTCAGCTTCTCCCTACTGCACGTAGATGAAGTTTGTCCGAGTTCTGTACTTTTATAGTCGGAAAACGTGAATATGTCGACTTTCCGTACATACGTCAGTTTTCGTGCTTTTCCTCTACGTGCGGAAGGCTAAAAATCGGTGCGGTAATAAAAAGTTTTCAATCCGGGGGCTGAACGATGCGGCGTACACGACGCCGACCGTGCGTTTCGCGCTTGTGTATTCATTTTCATCCCACCTCTTTTCCTTCGCGCGCTTTTCTCTCCCCGTCTAATGCACAGGCAGCGCAAAAATGTATGCATTAAATGCACTTCTCTTATATCCCGGTATAACGCAATACCTGATAATAGAGCGATTATCCCGTCATCCGAGTCCTCGCCCGCGGGTGTCCCGGCAGAAAAAGCTCCACGCTTCCGGTATTTTAGCGCTACCGCGAGCAAAGGGTGCCGAGGGTGAAAATTATGTGCGCGCGGCACGGCTACCCTTCGCTCGAGTCCCCACTGTCAGTGGAAATTCGATCGATCGCGGATGGACGTGCGCGAGTTTCTTCAGTTTATCGTGCTCGAGCGAGTATCCCGCACCCTTATAGGACGCCGACATTCTATGGACAAAAGGGAAGAGAACCTGCGGCACGTAGAGAGAAAGAGAGCACACGAGGGAAAGAGAGAGAGAGAGAGAGAGAGAGAAAGAAAGAGACAGAGAGGGAGAGATGAATATTTATCGTGCTCTCACCGGGAGAATTTTCCCTCAAACGCAATTTTAGACACAAGATACAAGAAAAAAAATATAAAATGTTAAGAGAGAAAGAGGATGGGGAGATACAGCGCGCGGAGGTGCGCGTGTGAAGTAATAAAACAAGGGGAAGGCGCGCGTGCGCCGCTTCGATTCCGGGGCACTACATCAATCTCTTGCCAGCTCTCATTCCTACTGCTGCCAATAAAAATCCAGCCGGCGAGACCGACGACGGTAATCTTCGCGCGTCAGCTGCCTCCTCGCGAAAAACTTCGCGCGACGTTTATCGATCCTCCTATGTATCATTATATACCCGTTTCCCGCGTCACGCGAACTCACCCTTCCCGGGGAGATAAGCGAAGCACCGGCCGCTGCGTCTGCCTCTAGAGTGTGTTTAATGGAGCCGATCGGCGAGTGAAGACGTCAGATTTTGCGAGAGAGCGGGAGAACCGCGATCGTTCTCGCGTGACCGTCGCTCCTACATCGTTTCCTGCGCCGCGTACTTGAGGAATTTCAGGCGACGGTGGCCACCGGTATCCGCATAAGTACAGACAAGTTGCGAAATTGTCCCGACAGGATTAACCTTCCCGGTGTACACAACGGGGAACGGGGGTGGGAGGGGGGAGAAGAGCCGGAGAGCTCGGTGGTACTACAAAGTAGCGCGTATGAGCGCCCACGTGGAAACGGTTTATGCATATATTCATGGCGAAAGAAGGCGCAACGATTGCCGGTGTAACAAAAGAAGCTCGGGGGGGG